TTGTGCTGTTCCTGCTCTCCTCCTGCACAGCAGCGCTGGGGCTGGAACCGCTGTGCAGCTCAGCAGCGCTTTTAGAGGCAGCGTCAGGGGGAGGGCAGTGCTGGGATCACAGGTAGCACTGTTCCACAATTGGCCACATCTGAGCTGTCCCACTGCAAGGACACATCCAACCTGGACTTGGGCACTGCCAGGATGGGCCATCAGCAGATCTTACAGGGAACTTGATTTATGGCTCACAGGCCCTGCCCTCTTTTGCATTCAAGACCTTCACCTTTGTCCTTCCAATACACTCTTGGATACAGGAAGCTGCATTGTGCTGTGCGGTGCTGCAGCCCTGGCACAAGGACCCAGAGGCTGTGGGTTCTCCTTGGGACACGAGGGTCTGTAGGGCCATGAGGAGCCACAGGCCATGAGCCTCCCCTCAGCCTCCTCTGCTGTGGGCACAACAAACCCAGTGCCCTCAGCTCTCCTCACACCCCTTGCCCTGCAGACCCTTCCCCACCTCCACAGCCCTCCTTTGGATGCTCTCTAATGGCTCCATGCCCTTCTCACACAGCAGCACCCGATGCTCGAGGTCAGGCTGCAGCACAGAGCAAAGGGAATGGTCCCTTCTCTCTCCAGCACTGCTGGGCCTGCTGTCCCCCAGGGGATGGGGCCCTTTTGGCTGCAGGGCACTGTGTGCTCACATCCACCAGGCTGTCCCAGAGCCCCCAGAGCCCTTCTGTGCAGCTGCTGTCTGGCCTCTGCTCCTCCCCTGTACTGAGAACCCATATCCAGTCACTGAAGGGAAAACTAAAGAGAACCAGCCCTGAAATGGAGCCCTGTGGAACCCCCAGTCACTGCCACCAGCACATCTATCCCCGGGTCCCAGCGCCGTCAGCCCAGCACTCACCCCCCACACCGTGTCCATGTCCAGCTGTGTGCCAGGCACTGTGCCTGCAGGATCCTGTGAGCAGCGCTATGGAGGCACTGCAGTAACCCAAACAGCTCTGGATCAAACCAGCTGGATCCCCATGAGCAGCTCAGTGGGTGACCGTCATACCTCCAGACCGAGTTCACAGGACAGGTTTTGCCCCTTGCCAGCCCGTGTTGGCTGCTGACAACGACTGCATCGTCTCTCAGCTCTTTTTCAGTATCTCCCAGAACAACCTCCAGGACTCCACCACTGATGCAGTGAGTCTGGCAGGCCTGTCCTCACCAGGGTCTTCCTTCTTGTTCTTGAAAACTGGGACAACGTCTTCCAGCTTCCAGTCAGCTGGGACTTCACCGGCTTCCCAGGACCACCCAAACCTAAATGAGGGGTGCACGATGACACCAGGCAGCTCTTTGTGCACCCCGGGCTGAATCCCATCCTCCATTTCATGTTCACGTGATCAACATTCCTTTGTGTTGTCCGCCATGGTGATGGCCAGCTTCAACTCCAGCTCCGCTTTGGCCACGCGATACTCTTCCTACAACGACAACCAGCACCTCTGCAGCTCTCCCACCTCCCAGCCTCGCTCCCAGGGGCTGTACCCACTCTTTTTCTGCCCGCTCCACCCCCCATGCAAGGGGAACCCCCCACCCCCGGGCCGTCCCTTTGCTTGTTGCATGGGGCAGGACGGGGCCCAAAGGGGCCGTGTGGTTTCTGCTCAGCGTGTGACTTCCAGGAATGGGAGTGGCTCAGCCCGGGCTTTGGTTCACCTGAGGGCCGCAGGAGCAGCAGGAGTGCTTTCGCTTTTTGTTGCGACAGAGCCCAGAGCTCAGCAGCCCTGCGGTCCCTTGGGGCCTCGAGTTCCTCCTGACAGCTTCACAGAACAACAGCTGCAGTTTCTCTTCCCTTTTCCAGAGGCCCCTCGTGGGGATGGGTTCTGTCCGGGCCGTGGCTCCCGCTGTTTTCAGAACAGTGCTGATGCTGCCGACAGCGCCCTGGGCCGCTGGGAGCAGTAGGAAGCAATGATGCATGCAGAGTGCTAATTAAAACACAAATATTACACTAATTACCATAATTATCCTTTAGTCCCCCCATGTGCCATGCTCATGGATCTCCCCAAACCCTGCGCCCACCCCGCCACCTGTGGGGATGTGAGGAGCGCTCAGACCACGGCACTGAGGGTCCTGTGACCAACCCCATCCCCACCCTGCTGCCACCACAGCTGATTTGGGATGGATCCCTTCCTGTGGGTGCAGTCCCCATCCCGTGGGCACTGTTCCCATCCCATGAGTGCTGCTTCCTCTGCCCGGACACTCCATGCTCTCCCAGCAGCACGAGGGCATTGCCCGACAGCCACTGCCCATCTCTGTCCCTGACGCTGTCCCAACACAGCCAGGCCACACTGTTGGCTACAAATGGGGACAAAGCCACAACACAGCACGGCAGGCTCACAATTTGTGATGCTGTATTCACACCAAGATGTGCAGCCCACACGGGGCTGCAGTGCTGTTGGGAGGAAAAGCAGCTGCGTGTTTTGCGGGGCAGCACTGCAGCGTGCCTACCAGGGAAAGGCACACAGCACAGCTCTGCTGGCTAACGCACAAAGCGGTGGTACAGCCGGATAACGCTCTGCCAGCCCCACGAGAGCACACGGCGCAGGGCGCGCCCGAGGGCCAGCAGTGCTGCAAGGACGCAGCGGCAGCAGAAGCACACGCACCGCGCACACCGCGTGCCGCGCAGCCACTGCACGGCCGGGATGAACCGCAGCCGCTCCAGGAGCCGCGTGTGCCACCGCCCCTGCAGCCGCCGCTCCGCGTCCTCGGCCGGGAGATCGCATTTCTTCTCGAAGTCGACGTCCGGGAGCTCCAGGAGCCGCGCGGCGCGGTCGTAGAGCTCGTTCCGGTAGTGGGCGCTCAGGTCTCCCCCAGCACGCGGGGCACGGTCTCCAGCAGCTCCCCGACCCACCCCACCCCCTCCCCCCGGCCGCCCCCCCCGGTTGTCGAAGGCGCAGCACCGTCCCCCGCAGTCCCGCAGCAGCTCCCGCAGCGCGGCGGTGCCGGTGTCCTCCACGTGCCGCCGCAGGGAGCCGCCCCTCGGCTCGTCCCCGCGCGTGAAGACCACGACGGTGCGCTCGGCGGCGCCGCGCCCGAACAGCCGCCACACTTGCCGGACGGCCGCCTCGTCCTCCTGCGTGAAGCGGCCCGGCTGCGTCACCAGCAGCAGAGCGTGCGGCCCCGGCGCCGACAGCAGCGCGCAGCGGGCGATCTCGCGGCGGCACCGGGCGCCGCGCTCCGGCGAGTCGAAGGCGTCGGGCGCGGCCACCACGTGCACGCCGTATCCCCTCCACGAGCCGCTCTGCCGTCGCTCCTCCGCGTCACCGCGCGCGTGGACGGCCGCGACTCGAAGGCCGCCCGCCCCAGGGCGCCGTTGCCCGTCGCGCTCCTCCCGCCGCCGCTCTTCCCGACGAGCGGCAGCCGCGGCTCCGGCGGCCCTTCGTCGTCCCGCGGCCCTTCGGCAGCGGCGGCGGGAAGGGCTCTGCGGGGAGCGGCGGGGCGCGAGGCGTCGTCCGGGGGCACCCGCACCCCCCCATGGCCGCCCGCCCCGCGCCGTGCTCCCGCGGACCCCGTCCCGTTCCG